TTGGGTTTCCTCTCTCTCCCTCTCTTTTTCTTTCTTTCATTTTTTAAAAGATTTTATTTATTATTTGGCAGAGAGAGACACAGCGAGAGAGGGATCACAAGCAGGGGGAGTGGGAGAAGGAGAAGCAGGCTTCCCACCGAGCAGGGAGTCCAGTGCAGGGCTAGATCCCGGGACCCCGGGATCATGACCTCAGCCAAAGGCAGAAGCTTAATGACTGAGCCACCCAGGCACACCTCGCTTTACTGTCATATCACATTTATCATCTCAGCACAGTAGCACTTGTAGCATACTGAGGAAAAGCTAATTATCTTGAAGAGAGCATTCTGTATAGTTTGTGGCTTTCATGTTTTTTTCCTGCTTTGTTTACCAGAATATGAACCTAATAGAAGATCAGTGTCTAGACAGAATCAGGACATTCTATAGACAGCAAAAACCTGAAGTGTTTTTAAAATATTGTATAAAGAAAATGTAGAAAATACGTGAAACCATATCTGCTAAGATAGCTACGTATATTACTCTAAATATTTATATACCATGAACTATAACACCCACACTTTTTTTTTTAATTAGTAAAGAACAAATGGAATTCATGGGCCATATTTTTTCTGATGGTCTGATTGGATGTGTTGCCTGTGCATCTCCCTCTTGACTCAAGATTCTTATTATAACTCAAATAGTTCTTAAGATTTTCTTGTTAATTCCTCCAACCACTTTTGACATTTTAGCTCTTCTTTTTCCAACTTGAATATTCCTGTGTGTATGATCTTTCTGTAGGGCAGCAGTCTTCTGAAATGCGAGAATTTTTTTTTTTTAAACTTCTCTTGGATGATTTTGTGAATAGAGTCAATCTAAGCAGAAAAAAATAAAAGACTATATGCCACTTATCTAGGTTGATTTATATATTTATTTTTAATTTTATTTATTTTTTAAAAGATTTTGTTATTTATTTATCTGACACAAAGAGAGAGCACACAAGCTGGGAGGAGAGGCAGAGGGAGAAGGAGAAGAAGAGTCCTGATGTGGGACTCGATCCCAGGACCCTTACATCATGACTGAGCTAAAGGCAGATGCTTAACTACTGAGCCACCCAGGTGCCCCTATGTTGATTTTTTTATTTCTTACCTTTGAATTATCTCAATGTTAGAAACTTGGATACTTTAAACTGTGTCTTACAGGTAATGCTCCAGGCATAGTTCTTAATCAGTGTAGGAAGGCAGAATATGCCAAAGCAAAATATGCCACTTTGACATAAGGATTATTTTGAGCTGAAGACAATTGAGAAGAAGCATATGCAAGAAAAGTCAACTCTTCCACCCAGCAGGCATTTCTCTAAAAGCGGAACATAAATTTACAAGCTCTTCCCCCTCTCCTCTTTACCAGAAAGCACAAAAGTTAATCAGTGAAGACAACTTTAAAGATTACTTTCTTTATTTTAGAGAGAGAGGAAAAGCCTGAGCAGGAGGGGCAGGGTTTTAGGGGGAGAGAATCATAAGCAGACTCCATGCTGAGCACAGAGCTTGATGTGTGGCTTAATCTCCTGACCCTGAGATCACCACCCTGCGATCAAGACCCTGAGCCAAAACCAAGAGTTGGATGCTGAACCAACGGTGCCAACCAGATACCCCTAGTAGAGATAAGTTTCAACTCTATCAGCCTGTCCAGCACTCGAGGAATCCACAGAACCAGCTTTACTAACTAGTCTTGATCTGCCATTATTTTCCCGTATACTTGCCTTTCCACAATTGGCTGCCCCTCCAGATTTAAGGTTCTTTTCTCCTGTCCTGTCTCTTTTCGAAAAATGTATTATTTCTTTGTTAAAATATTACACAAGCCCAGTTCTAACCAAATCTTTGAGTTACCCATCTCTGGGTACTCTCAAGTGCCACATGGACTTCTGAACCTATTAAGAGACTTCTGTTTGTTTGTTTTTTTCCTCTTATTAATCTGTCTTTGGCCAGTCTAATCTATGAGCCATCAGCAGGAAAACCTAAGATTGGTAGAGGAAGATATTTTTCCTCCCCCAAATCATTTAATTCCAAAATCCTGTGGATCCCTCAGCAAATCTTTATGGCTATGTAATTTCATTCCATGCCTAGACATAATATTCAGTATAAGAACCTTGAGTGCTAGCTATACAATGCTGAGAAAATCCTTTGTGCATCCAACCTCCCCATACAGTATAGCTCTAAAGATGGATAGCAGCAACAAACCTAGTGAACCCCTGTGCAGGGAGTGAAATAGGAATGACAGATAGCATGACAACTAGAAGAAAGAGTCAATGAATCAGTCAACATTGATGCATGGTGTTCTTACCACAGTCCATGCTGGTCATAAAAGGAGGGGATGACATAGGCCTTGCCTTAGATCTCCTGACTTGGAGATCAAATATTTATTCTAGTATTTCTGAATATTTATCTCAATATTCCAAAATCCCCAGTTTATTAAATTCTTAATTTTTAAGAGCAAATGGTGACACTAAAAACAGTTAAATATTAAGGTCTTGTGGAATCATTAGGCCTGACATGTTTAAGGGAAATTTTTTTTGGTAGAACTTCTGTAGCAAGATTTCTGGAACAAACCTGAAAGGTATTGTATGAAGCAGAAACCAAAGTATCAGAGAAGCTGAAGACAGACTAAAGGTGGCATATTCTGGAAATAGTGAGGAGATTTCACTTCAGAGAAGCTATCACCAAGACAGAGCCTGAAGTAACAGAAGACCATCTGTTCAGCCATCAGAAATGCCATGATTTACTCAGCATTGGGGCAACAATTCAAGGGACAAAGAATGAAATGTGTTGAAAAAAATTTCAGCAATCAAGACAGCTTTGAAATCATGTTTCTTACGGATGGTCTGTTGACATTCTGCACGTAATAGGTGTTCAAAGAATGCCAGAGAATTATTGTCTGGTCAGAATAAAATATGTCTCTTTAAAAGCTAAATTAAGGCTTTTATCTCCTGAATATGTTCTGACTTTGGAGATTTAGAATGATCAATTTTCTATCACTGGTAGAGAGCCATACTCTGAATATTGAGTTGAAGATCTATCATTTGCTTGAGCTCTATTACAGTAGTTTAATTTTTAAAACAACACTGCTCAAATAGTTTTCATGCTGGAGCTAGATAATAGATTGTAACACAGATTAGAAGACAATGCAGTCCATTTCTTCAGGGTACAAAGCAGGTGCAGTTATGTCTCTGCATGTGCATCTGATGCTTATGTATTTTAAATGTAAATTGTTTTCTTTAAAGAGAAAATACTGTATTGAATACTGATGCAAAAGGATTATTTATTTGTGCTTTATTTTCCTGAGTTGTGAAATTCATTTTCCACCTCTAATGAGAGCCCATGAAATGTTCCACAATGTTTGCAACAAATCTGGCTTTTAAGGAACAGATTTATATAAACTATAGCTGGAATTCTTCTGTGTCTATATGTAATTTCTTTCTTTGTACAATTTTACACAGGGTTATTATAATTTTATCTGTATATGTGTTTAAGTATGTTTTGAGTAGTACAGGAAAAATCAAAATTGGAAATTGAGCAAAGAATTCAAGATGAGTTCTCAAGACAAATAATCTTTAAATAATGAATTTTAGAAGATAAAATACTCCTGAAAAGGGCTTTACTATATAGAGCACATATCTGAACAATTTCAAGTTGTGATGTGGTAATCAAGACTTTTCTATAGGACTCCTTACAATTATCATCATCAAGAATAGTGTGGACATTATATATAATAAATGCTGAAGAGGCCTTCTTTGAAACTAATGGCCAATATAACAGAAACATTTACATGAGCATTTACATGAACAACTTTGTAATAAAGAGGAAGCCCAATTGTATAAGAACAAGTTGACGTCAATCTCAATTTAAAGTTAAAGCATAATTTGGGATCACAGTGAGCATCTGTAATTACAGAGACTTGCTGTAGAATGGTATGTGTTCTTTTTCTGAAACTATTTCTGAAGAAGATAAATGAAGCATGGTGGTGTACTTTTTCACTGGTTATATTTTCAATACCTCCTTTGTAATGAACCTAAGGGACTTGGGAGAAGAAAGACCGATACATCTGGAAATGGAGATACCAGAATTGTCTCTTTATGCCATAATGAGCAAAAAATAGTTGAATTGATCAGGGTAGCATAACTACAAAAAAACAGAAAGACCATGTATTAGTATTGTTGTAAAAGAGCTTGAACTCCACAAAAATCAAGTAAAAATGTGATAACTCAAAAGAGAGTCTGAAAATAATAACAGAATGCATGTTTCTACCATCCTACCTTCTTAATTCCAGTTATATCCTCAAATATTGCTCCTGAATGAAACACTGCTGAGCAGACTGCTAAGGTCTCAGACTGCTGGGTAGGGAGGCAATGAAGGTCAGCATAATTAAGCATAGTACTATCTAAACTCTGGGTTCTGAATAGCTGCTCTAATACTATGCAAAGCTGGTTTGAAGTGTGGTGGCATGGGCTCCTTTCCCTCTGTAATGCATCACATCTACTCTTCTAATAAAATCATAGGCCTAGAGACCTTCTGAGGCGGCCCTGTCCTGATAAGCCTACCACATGGGTGAGCCCAACCGAATGCATCTTTTCCACAGATAAGCAGTTCTGAAACAGAAAACTAGGAAGTGGTTGAAGCAAAACAGTAACTCATGCTGAAGTTTCCCCACATGAGGACAGAAAAGCAGAACCCCTGCTCCCCAAACCCAACCCCAAACTGGAATCTGGGGAGGGAAAAAAAGAAAGAAAAGAAAATGCACACAGAAAGTTTACCTTTTCTTAGTCAGACAGATGCCTCTGGACCAAGTGTGGAGAATTCTGGGATGAGAAATCAATACTGAGGATGCTGGAGAATCAACCCATGGCCTGCTGAGAAGGCTGGCATCTGAACAAGTGTCTGGTCCTCAGAGTTCCCTGGTCTTGGAAGAAATGCTGGAACATTGTACCAGTAGACACTCTCTAATCTGCATGTTGGAGAAGAGTGAATTTTTTCAATGACAGAGACTATGAAGTTGAAAGCGTTCTTGATGGAATTTCAGCAAAGGGCAGACACTGCCAGCTCCCACGTCACCAATGCCCAGTTGTGGGCCTCAAAGCACTTCCTGCCACTTAAATCCCTCAAGTTACCACGATAACGTGATCTGAATTATAAAGGCAAATAAAGCCAGGAGTAGATAAATGCTCAAGGGAATTCAGGACCTAGACACCAGAAGAGCGATGAAAATACACCAAATAGGTAAGTTCTTTTAGTGAATTTGAATTTGGATTTGAATTTGAATCTAGCTTTGAAATTGAATCTGGAGGAAACCCATGACGACTGTTATAGAAACAAAAAGGGAACTGTTAAAGAAACAAAAAGAGATGAATTCAATTCTTTAACAATAAGGCTTTCAGTTTCTAAAATATATAATTCTCTAATTTAAAAATCAGAAGAATTGAAGTACATGGTGATTATTAAAATTAGGCTGGTGTTCCATAATCTTAAAACAGTAAAAATGCAAAGAAATTGACAAGGGACTTGCAATGCGTGTCTGGGAAGTCTGCCATGTGAAATACAGAAGTTAAAGAAAAAGAAAATGAAAGAGGTTGGCGAAGACTATACTGAAATGGCAGACAATTTCCCACACCTATGCACATATGTACACAAACACACATACACACACACATCCATCCTGGATGCTTTGGCAGAAATTCTGTATTCTAAAATTAAAAAAAAAAAAAAATTAACAAGCTTCCAGCAGAAAGAATGAATTATTTGCAACCACCCCCTCCGTTTCCCAAAGCAGCAATCATAGTTCTGTTAGTCCAGCTTGTAAGAGGCACTTCTGTCTGCTACAGGAGCCGAACTTGTCCGTCTCTTTGCTTCACCCAGGTCCGGAGTCTTGTATGTCTATAACTTCAGCACTACTCACTGTTCCTTTGTTCCTTTGTTCCTTTCTCCCTTGCTCTTTCTCTCCCTCCCTCCCTCCCTTCCTTCCTTCTTTCTTTCCGTCTTCCTGATATTTATTTATTTATTTATTTATTTATGAGAGAGAAGGGGAGAGAGAGAGTGAGAGTGTAAGCATGGGGAGAGGCAGAGGTGTAGAGAGAGAATCTCAAGCAGGCCCCACACTCAGAGCAGAACCCGACTCAGTGCTTGATCTCAGGGCCCTGAGATCATGACCTAAGCTGAAATCAAGAGTGGGACACATAACTGACTGAGCCACTTAGGTGGCCCCTCTTTTTTTGTTTTATTTATTTCCTATCCACAGAAATGTTTTTCATTTATTTTTTTAATATTTTATTTATTTATTTGACAGACAGAGATCCCAAGTAGGCAGAGAGGCAGGCAGAGAGAGAGGAGAGAGGAAGAAGCAGGCTGCCTGCAGAGCAGAAAGCCCGATGCGGGGCTTGATTCCAGGACCCTGGGATCATGACCCGAGCGGAAGGCAGAGGCTTTAACCAACTGAGCCACCCAGGTGCCCCTGTTTTTCATTTCTTATGATACCAGAGATGATTATTTTGTTTTCTCTTTTATTATATTATCTATTATTAATTGGGGGCCTATATTACATGGAAATCTTCTCTTTTTTTTTTTTAAAGATTTTATTTATTTATTTGACAGATAGAGATCACAAGTAGGCAGAGAGGCAGGCAGAGAGAGAGAGGAGGAAGCAGGCTCCCTGCTGAGCAGAGAGCCCGATGTGGGGCTCGATCCCAGGACCCTGGGACCACGACCTGAGCCGAAGGCAGAGGCCCCAACCCACTGAGCCACCCAGGCGCCCGGAAATCTTCTCTTTTATACATACACACACTTTATTTTATTCCCTTTCCAAGTTTCCTAATCCCAATTCCATTCCACTATAAGCATCTATTCTTCATAATTTACATTCTTCCCAAATCACTATCTATTACTTACTTACATTACTTTGGATTTTTGAATAATATATAGCCTATTTTGGTGTGTTTTATGCTCATAAACTGCATTAGGCAATACATCTTCTTATGTAATACATATCGGGAATATTTTAGGATTCTGGCTTTTACTGAATATTTCATTTTTGATATCTATCTATGTTGATGTAGGCAAATCTTATTCTTTCTACTGTTAGTTTATTCCATTATATGTGTATCACACATTTTCTTTAATTTCTTTTCCTTGACAGCATTTCTAAATCCTTGCCCTCCAAAGCATGCCAGAGATGGACGTTGTCACATCTTTCTCTCTGTCAGTGTAGGAGCATTTCTGCAAGAAATAGACCTAATTTTCAGCTGGATGGGGAGAGATATATCTTTACCCCTGGGGATGCTTAGATGTCTGGTTTTTGACTTAGCCAAGGTAAGGGCAGTGGAATTTCTAATCTTTCGTTTAGGGTTTGAAACTCCCCTGACAACATGCAAGGTTAGCTTCTTTACTGATAGTTTGCCACTGGCCTAAGCATTTGGATGAGCCTGACTCGATTACTTACCAAACCACTGAAAGCTTTTGGAGGGAGCTCTCCCAAAGATAAATCCTTCATGCAGGTCTTGGCAGCTCAAGTCAGAGAATCAACCCACTCCCAGAGCACAGGAATTTTTGAGGAATTCCTTAAATATCCTTGATATTAATCTTTAACTAGTTTGTTACTTTTCTGTTAGCTGAAATCTATTATACTTCTATTTCAATTCCCTCTTTCATAAAGTAGAAATAGTAATAGTACCTCTAGCTCCTTTTTTTCCTCTGAAGTTTAAATGAGATAATACATGTAAAACACTAGTACAGCATTTACATTTGACAAGAATTCAATGCATACTGGTTATCTATTAAGCTTTTTCAAATTAAGCTAATACTTTTGTTGTACCTAGATAAACATATAAACTTAGTTTTAAATTTAATTTTAATCTATACTTAAATTGAATGATTTCTTCTGTATCATATTTAATCCAGTACTGAAGTCTCAAACTAGGCACAGGAAGTTTAGAATGTAGACTAGACTAGTGACAGATGGAGGAGATGCAGCTGGGAAATCAGAAGCCATTACTCTGCACTTGAATTCACACAGGCACCCCAGCCTGTGTGAGCAGTGGACTCTGCCCTTCAAGCTGACCTGCCTTTCCACAGTAAGCACCTGACCTGCTGATGACAGAGGGACCCACATCTCTTCATTTGGGCACAGTTTTATCCATTGGATCCATATATTTGTATTTTCAAAACTGCAACACTTTCATCACCATTACTCTTGCCCCTAGTGTGTAGGTTTATCATCCAACATGTCAAAATTATTTTGAAAAATGTATCATGTAATACAAAGTCTAAGTTGTATCTGATCTCTTTATGAAGAAGAAGAAACCGAAAAGGGAAATAATAAAATACACCAGAATGTCTTGATAGGAAATAGAATCATTCATAAAGTCATGAGGCAAAATATGTTTTCTAAAATTTGTATTACAGATACTGGCAAACAGAGATAGATAAGGAAAACAATGGGTCAATTGGAATGCTCTAATATGTGCATAAAGTTTTCTCTCAGTAGAAACTTTTCCTTTTAGTTACTAAACAAATTCTCCAAACATTGAAAATATTTCAGAAGTTCTCAGGAAATTATAATAAAGTAAACTGCTAGTATTTGATAAATTCCCACCCTTGTGTCTTTTCTTGGCTCTTTCAATCAATACCTCTGTTCTTGGCCAGATTCCTTATTGGCAAGGAGTTCTGGGGAGCATTTTATACTCACTTATCTAACTCAGATCTGTATAAGATGCATGCTGTCCTAAATTGTGTATGTGTAGCCTAGATTGATAAGAATATTTCATCCCTTCAAATTAGCTCCTGGAGTACTCTGTTAAGCAGATGAAAGATGACATCTAGGCACAGAGGAAAACAGTAAAATGTGAATTCCATTAGCAGAGACAGCCACAGGCAAGGGAGAAAGGATGTGGCTTCATGTGTGTATAGACTTTCCTCTGGAACCTTCTTTGACTTTCCTAAGCAAAATCATCATTACCTTTTCTTAATTCCACAGGATGTACTTTCAGAATACTTTGATTAATCTAATTATAATCACGTTCTCTGGAGATCTGCTAGATCACATGTATATATGAAATAACTACATTTTTTGAAAGCTTTCAGGCCAGCTATTGACTTTTATTATATTAATCAGTAAATTTCATTTACTTAATCAAGTAAATTACAGAGTGTTATAGACTTAGGGACTGTGCATATGTTCAAGATTTCCAAACTGAGCTGGCCCTCTTATGTAATTCAATGAGCAATATAGCTGTACTTTTATGGTGTTTGGATTATTAAGAAGCTCTTACCAGATAACACGCCATTCTGTAAACCATATGTCGATATGTTCAAGTCTCAGAAATGTAATAGGGAGTGTACCTTTTATTGTATTGTGCTGTGATTGTATCATAATCAAGATGTAGAATGCAAGAAGCAGTAGTAATAGACACACTAGTCACATCTCATAAGCCATGAGTGAAGAGATATATTTGGAGGAGTAACAAAAGGAAAGGTTGTGAGACAGGAAGAGAAGAGGTAAAGGAGAATGAGGACAGAGCTTAAACAGAGATTTGCAGGTAAAAGAAATGCTAGGAACAAGAGCGGTCAACATAGAGGCCGTCAGCAGAGAAGGCAGTTTGGATTTTCCTAATTGGCAGATCATTAGAGCTTTGCCCAAGACAGGACTCAGGAATGAATAAAAGTGGAAGTGAGACTTAAGGATAGCTTGCAGTTAATGAGACACATTAATGGCATTACTTGGCGTGCCTGGGTGGCTCAGTCGGTTAAGTGCTGGACCTGTGATTTCGGCTCAGGTCATGATCTCAGAATCAGGGGAATCAAGTCCCATGTAGGACTCCATACCAGTTGTGGACATTGCAGAAGACTCTCTCTCTCCCTTTCCTGCCCCTTCCTCCTGCATGCATGTGTGTGCACACACTCACTCTCTCTTTCTCTCAAAAAAAAAAAAAAAAGGCATTACTATTCTACTCTTCTCTTTAAAGTCAAGAGAACATTTCTTAGAAAATGGAGATGAAAACTTTCTTTAAAAAAAACAGGTAATAGCTATAATTCTAAACCAGAGATTATGAAGAATAGCTGTTGAATACAGTAACATTGCAGACCTTAGAAGTCTGGGAGCAGTAAATATATTCATTCATCTCGTGTTAGCCCTAGATGGAGTTCTCCCAAGGCAGGTGTCATAGTTCTTTAGGAAACAATAAAGAATATCTTATCCAGAGCAGTAATTCTGGACAACCTGATAGACTGAG